AAACTCCATACCTAAATTCAGTGTAAGGCGAACAGGCTAAGAGTAATAATATTCCTATGACTGCAGCATTTTGGATGCATCGCATTCTATAAAATCTTCTGTGTTAACCGAAACCATATCTTTAAAAATTATTTACTCATTGATGGAGTATCACAGAGAGACATCTATATTTTATACAACAGGCCTCTTGCAGAAGCGTAAGCACAATAAGGGCCCAGAGAATGAAGAAGTCTCCACACTCGTTTCAGGCAGGCCACGTAACATAATAAAGCTTTTACTCCCTTTCCAGCATTCAAGATTCACAATCCTGACCTTTTTACTAGTACAGTCTCAGCAGAAAATCCACATGCAAGAACGGTCCTACTGCTTCCTTGCTGAGTACAGATGCACAGAGAAGGAACCTTATTAATATGGAAATTGAAGACGACAAGATAACATTAAAAATCCTTTGCATGAAACAAGACACCGATATTTACTGAAACTGCTCTTCAGTGCAGGAGTGCAGAAAATAAACAACTAAAAATAGATGAAAAATCATTCTTAACTGATTCTGTTTATGGCCCTTGCCTATCCCAAAACTGGTAATAGACTGCTACAGGAAAGCAACAGACCTGCCCTTTGACAAGTAATTAAACCAAAGTGGACAAAGGCAGCAACTCCCTACTGGGAAATTTTAGAAGATACTAAGAAAAGACTGAGAAAGGTAGAAGAATACGTGCATGGAGAAAAAGTGATCATTTGGGGGAAAAAACCAAAGATGCTGCAATGAAGTAAAATTGAAAAAGAAGATGAAATATGAACAACTTACAGGGCAGCTTTAAGCTGCAGGTTGGCCACGCTGAAGGATGAGCCCAAGAGCAATCCATCAGACCTAGCTTATCGTGGCATAAAGGGCTACTCTGGCCACAAAAGAGCAACTCCACAAAGACATTGTTCACATTTCAATTATATCCTCTACAGCTAAGAAAGCCAAAAACCATAATGGATGCCATTCAGTGTTAGTTTTGCTAGAAAAACAGTTCATCATTCCCTCTACTATCTGGATACCGACAAACAAACAGACTGGGACAACTACTAAAACAAAGCGCTTGGCGTCACGGTAAACCGGCTATCGTTTTGATCCCGCACATAAAACTTTCAGGCAAGTATGGCTGGGATTAGCAATAAGCTACATATTTGATAAACCAAGGAGACAAGTATTCAGTAACCAAATACCTCTTATAAGGTACAGATGATTCACACCCTTCCACAGAGCCTCTTACACAGGAAAACACTAAGACCAGCCTCGCATCTCTGAGATAAAATTCAACTATTTTCACAAAAACAGGCAAGTGTTGCATCTATTTATGCAGTTTGCCCAATAAGGTTATTAACCTAGATAAACTGATTGATTTCTCCGCAACATACTCTGTTTCTCTTATTAAAGACACGGGGGTTGTTTGTCAAATAGGAGTTACTTTAATCAGAAAATTAGAGAAAACGCATGTCACGTTAAATTGTGCACGGCAGACGCTCCAAGCAGTCGAGAGGACTATTTCTGCCAAGTGCTTTGATTCCCTGAAGCATAGAGCTGTTAACTACATATGTAAGCATGGAAGTAGGTCAAGAGTATTCTTCTATTATTCACCGCAACTCAGAGAATGAACTCTACAAATCTACCTAGAATTTGCACAGTATTTACTCAGAAAGGGCCCAGGAAACAGAAGTATTTTCCGAAGATGTTTCCTCCCTACAAACCTGGCTTATCTGATGGCCTCAGGTGAAACTGCAAATCTAGAAGCTGGAGCTGCTAGCTCTTTCTTTTCATTGCTCATCCCCATTGTCAGCCTTCAAAGTTTATTTTTAGATACTTTGTCACACAAAGGTTCTGCAACAGAAAAAGTTTCAAGCCTTGCCGGTTCCCTACTGTTCTGAAGAAGAGATGAAGAGAAGGCACAAAAGCTGACAGACCTGCTGAAGTGAGGCGGGCAGCTTTCAACGGTTTTCCTTTATATCTGACAGCTCCGATCACCTCTCATTGCAGCGGGGCATGGAGAAACCGCTCTCCAGCTTTTTAGCCTCCTACTTTGGGACAGGCTTTTTCTAGCCTTATTCAATAATCCCATTCTTCAAATATCTCGTTTTCATGTTAGAAGAAGAGCATCAACACCCAGTACCTCTGTCAAAAGCTGTGCTACTAATAGAAAGCCGTCACAATGTTACTTTCGACACACATTTTCTTCCACTGAAACAACAAGCTTCTAAACAAATTAACCAGTTTTTAACAACCTGTCTTTAAAACTCCCCAAGTATATCACAAACTCAAGGCCCAGTTAGCCACAGACAGGTCATTTGTAGACCACAGCCATGACCATTTAGGAAAACAGTGCAAGGATGGAGGAAAAGGGGCTACCTAGAAAGCTACAAGAAAGTTAAGTCTGATGTCCAGCTGGGCAAGTAGGAAGAAACCATCAAGAATAAAATCAGTAAGCCCTTGAATAATATGATGTGGAAGATTCAGCATGGCTGTTGTACAAGGAAGCAATGCTTCACCAACCCTTCTCTGAAGAAGCACATAAAAAAAAAAAAAAAAGACCCAGTCCATACAGTCAGTATACTCAGATTTTTAAAAAAACCTTCAACAAGATCCCTGTGCAAAGACTTTTAAGGAAACTAAGCCATCATAGGACAAGGTCCTCATCTGCATTCAAATAATTTATTAAAGGAGAGAAACCAAAAGCAGGAATAAACAGTCAGTTTTCATCCACAAAATGAGGGTGAGGTCACTCTCAGAATCTTACAGAAAGATATGCTGGGACTGGTACTGTGGAAAATATCCACAAATCACACACAAATCTCAGAAAAATAGCAAGGTAACAAAGTCTGCTGAGGATGCAAAGCTGTTCGGAGTAGTATATCAAAGGCTGACTGCACAGACGTTATGCAAGACCTTTCCATATCGAGAGAAAGCGGCAAAATGGCAGAGGTGATTTAACTGCTGATAAATATAAAATACTTGGAGGGAAAAGCATTCCTAAACTTGTGATACACACCGTTAAGTTGGGATCTAGACCATTCAAGAAACGTGAGGATGAGAGGTCTGAGATCCGCAGGTCCTTCGTCTGCAGAAGGAGAGGCCCTGAGAGTGGGGAGAGCTCCCAACTTTGGAAAACAAATGAAATTCTTCTGCTTTACTACAGAAAATTCAGGAAGAACTGAAATCTCTGCCTCTCTCAAGCTGCCTGCTAGAGAGAAAATTCTTCTAAGTCACTCCTAGTCAGATGAGATTCATGCCTTTATCTTCTTCTCTTTATTAAAGAAAATAGACTGAGCTGCTCGAGTTTCTCATTCTCAAGTATGTTCTCAAATCATAGAACTTCTACAGATTCTTTCCAGGTTAGAAATCATCTTCTTTAATTCTGGACACAGCAATCAAAATCAAGAGCAGCTGCTGCTGCAGCTATAAAATACTGAGGTACTCAAGTCAATCTGTTCCTACACAAGATTCATCTATTTATACACCCTTTTGCACTTTTTGTTATTTACCATTCCCCCTTCTCTGTGTCACCTATAAATCTTTATCAGAAATTTATTTTTTTGTTTTCTGTTAGGTGACTAATAAATGCACCAAATAAACAAGTGAGCTTCATGACATTGTGTTTAAAATACATTTACCGATGCTAATAATTAGAGATCTTCTGGCTAGTCCCCTTTTAGTTCTTTAATGTGCAGCTTGTGCGTGTTCTGACTTGTCTAGCATTTACAATTCTTGCATCGGACTAAATGATCTACAGAATTTCAATAGAATTACTTTCACCAACCAAACCTGTATTTTCTTTTTTTTTAATTAGCTTGTCAAAATCTATTTTCAATAAACCCATAGGCATTCATTATAATATACTTCTTGCATTTAATCCTTGATAACGCTGAATGCCATTCCATCATTTTTCACTTAACTGATATCAAACTGACAAGCCAACAATTACCTGCATTGTCCTACTTATTCTTGTTAAAGAGTGACAGAGGAATAGTTTTCTCATAGCCCTCGAGAACACCTTTAGTATGCCAAGATCAGTGTGAAATTAATGCAACCGGTCCAAAGTCCTCTCTGCTCCTTTAGGTTTTGTTTACTTTTTAATGTGAATTACCCAGGACAATGAATCCCAGTATATCTACCTAAAGCAGCCATATTTAACAGTTGCCCGATTACTGTTTGAACAGACTGTATCAGCACAGCACATAGGCAGGACGCTGTTTACTGAACTCTTCTGGCTTTTCTGCTCGTTACTGACAATTCCATCTCACAGACGCCTGTCTGTTAACCAGCTGGAGGAGGAAACAGAGTAATAAGGAAAAGGAAGAGAAGTGGAAACGGCTTTGTCTAAGGCACTCATTTATTCTACATGTTAAAAAAAAAAAAAAAAAGAGAGAAGAGGAGAACTGATGGCCAAAACCACAAAACAACCCCTACAACTGACAACAACGGAATCCTGCATCTAGCTGCAATGTTCTTTCTGGCTCTCTCCTTAGCAACATGTAAACTGGAAAAATTATAGATATTTCTTCATCAGAGGTGATTTGCAAGCTACAATTGGCAAGTTATATATATCTATTTTGAAAAGGTCAGTTAATGTGTTCTCTAGGTAATTATCTCACAGAGGGTCTTTCTTAACCTGATTGTAGAGTAGCTCCGGGAACTGCTTTTCCTCTGAACCCTCTACCAGCAAAAGCAAAGAGAGTTCAGCAGCTCCACACACCTACTGAAACAGACCTCTGACACCAAACCCCCCGGTTAGTACAGCTAACTTCTCATATGCATCTTAGGAGATATGAAAAATGGGAAGTTGCAAAAACTACTTCAGTATATTTAGTACTGCAGCAACAATATGGTCTTCGTGTCCAGTCTAAATAAAGCTTTAAAATCCTACTGATTAGTGTTTTGGATCAGAACAGGTTTACCAGGAGAAAAGACAGTCATAGGAAAATATGGAACACTTTAAAATTCAGAGTACTGACTGTACCTTACAGATTTTGTATAGAGATTCCTGACCGTCTCCTTCTGTATCTTTGAAATAATCATGTGCTGGAAACGTACGATGAATATCTCGGGTAATGACGCTCTCTTGAGCAGAATCCTGCAAAAAGGAGAAAAAAACTCCAAAGTATTAGCTCGGAAACAGCATAATTAAACACCAAGAATACAAAATTCTACGTGCAGTCAACACGGATCCATTAGATAACTGCTTTACTGACTCATCCTCCAAAAATGCACTTGAGAAGAAACTGAAGAAACTCTAGGCTCAACTGCAGTAATAATGTGACTGTTTAACAAGAGCAACGTGGCATGTTTTCTGTCCTTCAGGCTCACAGTCCAACTTTAAAACTCATAGGAAATGAATAGC